TAAACTTAGTGACTGGCTTTCAAAAAACTGTTAGTGGGATAGAGGCTTGCAAGCAGAGACGCGTATCCTATCAGCAGATAAAGTAGCGAATACGTCACGGTGATGAAATATAATAAAGTAGCCGACAGAGGCAAATAGTTGTTTATTTCATACTTCATTTGCGACACGTAGATAATTAGTGTCGAATGGAATCTTAAATGCGAACTTCATGGACTCTTCGGCGGAGAACCGACATTCCTGACTGAGGTATTTTGTTACTCTCCAGGCAAATCCCACGTTAGTTACAGGCCTTCTAATATAACAGTGGATGTTCTCTATTGTCTGAGGTGTATTTGATACACACGTCGATAAAATTGCCCGGTGTAAATTAAAACTGCAATGGCTCGACAATTTTTGTAAAAAAAATTTCCATCACGAAATTTAATCAAAACAGGTTTATCCGCTTTGGAGCTGCGTACGGGGGAAAAACCCCCGGACGGATGAGGCAATTTTAATAGGCACTCCGCGTGTTTTCTGATGTGCCTAATAAGACATCCACGTACAAATGACTGCTACAGATTGCTGCTCAAGGACAAGCTGGGGACCTGCATCATCAAATGACCTTGTGCTTGTATTTATGTTTTAGCTGGAAGTATTTATTTCACTTTCGCAGGCGTGACGTTATCTAACACGAAGCTCTGATTTAGGTCTGTGTTTCCCAAACGTTTTTGTCCGCAGACTCCTTGCATCCTTCAGAAATACTGAAGAAACTCCCAAAAGAACTGAAAACTCTTATCGAAAACGAATCTTTCCTGAGCCAGTTCCGTCGACTTCCCGTTCTCAAAACCCATCCCCCAACAAACATTTACATATTCTTCTCCTGTTTCGTCTTCCATGATGACACTGGTAAGGAGTTTCTTTACCAAAATTCTCTCCGTATATCTTGTTTCCGCCACTCGAATTATGAGTTTATCCCACCTAAACGTCCGTGGTTTCTGTATTATAACAACACTTCTGCTGTTTTATATTGTCGTAAAGCGTGGTCTCTTACTGGGATAGATCGTGCAGATGGAATGACGATTGTGAATTACGAAGAATGTAGAAGGAAGTGGTCGTGACCTACTTTGGGCACTGAATCACAGTTACAATCTGTAACTGGGATAGCTGTCACCTGAACGATACTCTACAGAACAGAGTGTGTACCACTGCACTACGATATTCGGTCTCTGTTACGTCCAGGGAATGAAATGAACTACAAGCCTTTCGCAATAAATCACATTTGAAAATATTTATCCTGAACTACAATATGGATTTTGTTTTTGTGTGCAGATCAAAAGTACAGCTGCCCGGAGCCGGCATGACCAGATACAGAATGTCACAGTTTTTCAGTCAAGAGGACCAATTGTAAGTACCCTCTTTTTTTATTGGTTTTTCTCTGTGACTTTTATTTCAGAGTTATTCGGTTTTCCCCTGCAAGTTACATTCCACCACTGCTACATATTCACTCATGTATCATGTGGGGGATGGACAATGGGGCTGTTAAAGGCCCAGTTCCACAGAGACATAGTCTCACCCACTGCAACAGTACCAAGAAGTTATTCTCAGGACTTATTATTACGAAAATTTGACTAGTTCTGTCCAAGATTAAGGGGCAAGTATAGCAAATAGCATGGTCCGGAGATAGGGATTAGCTCTATCTAGTGGACCCAACTGTGTAGGAACCTGAAGACGGAGATAGAGTCCCATCTCCGAAACGTCGTTTTACGTTTTATATTTACTAGACGATGGATAATATCCAAGAAAATTTTTATTCAATTGAGCATGGCTGTATCATCGGTTACGTGGTGTAATCGAATTACCGTTCGTGCCACATTGCTCTTTGCTAATCTTTGAAGCGTTCAACTCAAGTCGATAATTTCAATGGCTGTTATATACGTCATATATTAAACCACTTATAATTAAACAAACGACGAAGTAATTACACGCATAATTAACAAAAGTTGAATTCCAGCGATAAAGCACGTATGTGTATTTGCATAATACTATCTCGCTTGAAATGTTTGATTAGCGCGCGTGTTTGTTTGTGCGTGTGTATACACCTTGTTGAGATCTTTACGATGTCCGATCGAATTACGTGTGTCTGTATGCTAATGAACGGAGATCGTAAGTCGATCATTGGACTGTATGTTGAAAATATAGAATTTCCTTAAAGTAGAGAAGGAATTCGTAAATGGACTGTCCCCAGGCCTCTTTCATGCTCTCATGGTATGGTAATTAATCATAAAGGACAATTGGAACTATAAGTGCGAAATCTTATATTCAGATAATAAAATTCTTACAGTTTTTATGAATAGATTTTTACGTTAACAATGAAAAACATGGCGATAGCGCGTGGCGTCTTTCAAGTACTGGGATTTTGTAGGTGTGTTAGGCGGTGGTATGTACGGAAATAGAACATTAAATTGAATAATTATCGATTTGTAGTTCCTTCTGACACTACAGACTTGCACACTTGTGTGTATTAAAATACAAACGCCCGTCATACTTCGTACCAGAACTTCCTGTCACTATAGAATGCTGCATCCTTCAATCACCATTTAACAGCTCTCGATTGTTCCGGCTTTCTTCTGTTAGAACAATAAACGTAGCCACACAAAGAGCACGGGTGTTAAAATCGGAGCATTGACAGGAAATTGCAGTGGCCAAGCGACTGTAACTGTCTGCTACTGATACTGCATAGTGACTGGTGTTTATTGTTACTTCTGTTCGTAATGGAACTACATAATTGATTTTACGACAATAAATGGACTAGCCAGTAGCAATCAGAAGTAATCAACACATTCGTCTGCTAGCGAGACTTTGAAAAAAAAATGCTCTCAGCAAATCTTAGAATAATTAAGACAAATTGTTTCAAAAAAATTCTGCCGTCAAATAATACCGAATGCTACAAGATGCCAGTACACCTGAACAAGGTTATAAAATTTTGGAAATGTATTTTAAAAACGGTCCACAAGACAACCTTTGAATGTCATTACGTTAGAATTAACTGACTGGGCGAGTAAGTTAGGTAACAAAACTAATTGCCTGACTATTCGTGCTGAGTAATAACGATTTGGAAGGAAAGGCCATGACCCCCTTCAAGGTACTGTCCCTTGTTTTGCCTCGAAGGGCTAATAAAAGCCACGGAAATTATCATTCAAGGCAGCCTGTGAGATAGTCGAGATTCGAACCCGATACTTCTGAATACAAGTCAGGCCGGGAAATTACTTGGTTGATTGCAGTCAGTCAGTCGGTCTCTTTGTCAGTACGTCATGTAATTAGGCCTAGCCGATCAGGGAATTGGTTAGAAATTAGGTAGTGAAGAGAGTGATTTAGTTAGTTAGTTGCCCAGGACAAGGACCGGTGGAGGGCTTTGGTTAATTCGGCGATGAACCTCCGGGTTCACTGAGTCAGTTAGTTGGTTAGTGTCGGTCAGTCATTTGGATGACGTTCAGTGGGTATTGGTGGGCAGAACGTGAAATTCGCCCTCACCTGCATCCAGTGTTCGGTCTACAATGCGACCCGCGTAATTCGTTGTCACCCCGTGTGATGAAAAGTAGTTACCTTATAGAAAAAAACATGCATGTCGCTTCAACAACTGTACAGATTGATGAAGAACATTATTAAATCGAGAACTGGGACGTATCTTACTCATAACACTCGCAGAGACTCATGTGTGTCGCAAAGGCAGAAGTTAAACATGATGTTGAAAGGTTACCCAAGCAAAACCAGTTTCAGATGTGTTACCAATGACGAATTTAACCTGTTTGATGGCAGTAGGCCCAATATTTTTATTAAATTTGTCACGAAGTTCGAAATAATTCTCCTCAGTCATAAACTTGCTGTCTGGGAGTCACTGAACAAGGGCGAATGTGGCCTTAGGTCTCTAAAAAAATTGAGGACGCCTGTTCTAAAGCGACGTTTGGTTTGGGACAAACGGCGTAAAAATATGAGGCAAACACTTGCAGTCGGCAGCACAACGCACATGGCTGACCTGAAGATGTCCACAGTGGGCTCCCTGAAGATCCACTCGAGGTCCGTGTCGTTCCGTGGCACGACGCGCATGCTGATGCTCAGGTAGCCATAGCGACTGAAGAGGTTGATGCCACGGCCGAGGTGCAGCTGCTCGTCGCTGCACGAGGCGACTGCTACGGCTACCACCATCAGCATCGCCCGGCCCCACATCGCGCTCCCACAGCAAGGCTCCTTCTGCTTATGCTGCAACACACAGTTTCAACACCACTCGTAACATGGCGGCCTTGGTACGGAAACGTCACAAACAGACACGAGAGCCGCGGTATTTTATTAAGGCCTTTATCGCGATGTGAGTTTTGACAGAGAAGAATCATCTGGGCTGGTTTTCTGGTTGTATACAAGCGTTTCGGCGGCACACTTCGACCCTGAAGCTGGAGGCAGCTTCTATAATGTACATAAGACAATCTCAAATCCTGCATCACAAGACTCTGTGGGAAGACAGCACAATTCAACACAGATGATGGAGGCAGAATGTTTGTCCGAATCATTGGTAACCAGAGGACGTTACGGCGAACGCCATTACCGGAATGGAACCCCGGGTGTCCATTCCGTAACCGCACGCATGCAGTTTGTCCCACCGTTCGAGTTTCTTCAGGAGGCCTAGAAACAGCCAACATCAGATGGCCTCTCTGTGGGTATGACATTTGTCGGTTGGCGTCTCCTTCTGGGAATCAAAACAGACGCCTATATGTGTTGAGGGGGATTTCTAATAAAGTAATGCGGTCGGTGTCTTCATACTTTTGGGGGTGGGGGGAATAATAATGCCAGTATCTTGTGTGGAAAGTTGGTACTGACAGAAACCGTGTCGGCGATCAAGTCCTTTAAGACAAAGCGAAGTGACGTCTATTATACCTCCACCTCCACCCACACCAACATCCTTTCCCGTCATTAAAAAATGTAAGTTTTAGAACAAATGCATTCAGTCAGTGTCCTAAGGACCTCAAGAACCCATATTCTTTCTAAAAGCCTTGAGAATTGCACCGAACATAGCTGATTCGGAGACCACTATTCCGACTGAGATTTTTCGTGGTATTACTCAATTCCTTCAGGCAGATTATGGGATAAGACATTAAATTAGGCCACGACCGTCTCATTTCCATATACGTTCATCCAACGTTGTACAGCCTGATCTACTGACGTCGTCGTTAAATAAATCAAAATAAATAATTCGTTCTCTCTGTTCCTGTCTGCGGATTAAGACAGTCAGAGCGTCAACCTGACTATTCACTTGTGCTGTTCACTTCACCAAGCCAGTTTTAAATCGGGTTTAATACACCTTAATAGCGCAGATCGTCTTCACTGGGCTGCAGAACACAACGTGATAATCACTGCCCACTATTCATACCTGAATATGGCCACGCAACTCGCAATGAAACCGTAGGCACTAGTTATTTTTTTCTAACATCCTCATCAAACCATACGCAGCCGAACTTTATGCACCCTGCTTTCAGTCTGGCTTCTGGACCGATCACATCAAAGCTCGATTCCCGTTCATTTAACCACGGTTGTTAGCTGTTCTGAACATGTAACAACTGGGATAATTTATCACGCTCATTCGCCATGTCGAAACCCTCGATTGTAGATAGGTCGACTGAACAGTTGAGGTTAATGATTACAAGCCAACATTTCCTGTACGATAACATGTGTTTCCTTTACGAATTACAGGTTCTGAGTGCCACTGCGAGTGAGAAACTCCTGTGCAAATAACAATTCATAGTTGTTCCCCGACAAGCCTATTTAATTTATCTGTAAATTCATGAATTTGAGTTTGTTCGTCATGTCGAACCTTAAACATCAATTAAATACGTTAAGATATTTTATAGAAGTCACGTATGACGTAACTCGGCACCTTGAATCGATTTGAGGACTTCATCAAGGACAAGATGTTGAATGTCTGTGGGTTATTTTGTTGATTTACGATTCGGTGAGCCTATAATAATTAGGCTACGGATTTGACGACCAGGTTTCGACTCCCGGTAGGGTAGGATTTCTCTGCTTACCGTCGTGTTCAGGCCGGTTCTGGAGCTCACCAAACCGCTTCTCCAATGGTTGCTTTGATTCTTTCCTCAGGGGTAAAGTTGCCAGCTCGTGAAGCTCAATCAGTTCCGAATGTTTGTAACTTTACCTCCACTTTTCCATACGCCTGAATTGTGTGGTACTTTGTTAAATACCGAAGTCAACTTTACTTTTACCGTATTAGTCACAGAGTTGATACAGCTTCAAATGTCATATGGTTGTGCTGCTCTGAAGCAAAGAATAATGAAATGTTTTGAATTGCTCTAATAGAAGGGCTTGGAGCATTTTGGGAAAATATGGGACGCTGCAGTCATGGTGACCAATTTCGGCTGGGATTCAGACATAGCCCAAGTCTGTTTTGGCGTATCGTTACCGCTGCTCTATCTTAAACGAGGACAGTTTGTAATTAAGAATTCTTATTAAATCGCATGGATCGACGAAAATTAATAAATTGGCCTACTACAAATTTAATTAGAGGCGAAATTGCACACAGGAGGTTAATTTATGAAGAAGTGGATGTATGATTAAAAAACATCAAAATACACAACGAAGGGGACCTATACAGTACGATTCGTATGAATATAAGACACAAGGACCTGCAGTTTTAAATAGAGAGGCACAGTCAACAGCCTGAGGGTTAAAGCTGGTTACGTTAACACAGCAAAAAATCTGCAGTCACGACTTGAATGAAGGTCTAAAACCAGGAGACGCGTTATTACATCAGGCGCTGAATAGAAGAAAACGGAGAATAATATAAATATAAATAAAGACAATAAAGATCACTGAAGAAAACGAAATCTTCCCTCGGCCTGTCATCATCACAAAACCGTTCCTGAATATAACCTTCACTGCCTCGAAGACGTGGTATAAAGTCCATAGCAAATCATCAGACGCCTGAGAACACATTTCATGCAGTTCATCTAAAGAGGTCAAGGGACGAGCTACAGTAACGATAGAATATTTGTATGCAGCCTGTATTTCAGGAACACTGAGTAGATCTAAAAAAATGTCTCATACAAGAATCGCAGTTAATAATAAAATGAACATTTTGTGTTATGTACCATTTCTTCTCGTAACGTTTTGATTTTGAGATGATCGTAATAGTGAATGGAGTTCAAGAATTTACACAGACACACGGAAAGAAAGCCTCTGTAAAATTATCTCTTCTTATGTGTAACGAATGTTATAATGCAATTCACACAAGAAAAGAAAACGTGATATTAAAATGCATCTTGCATATGAATAAAACGGATATGGAGATGCATACAGATGAAGACATTAAGAAACAGTGCATGTAGGTGGTCATGCTCTGAGCGCTGCAGTCAGATACACAGTGGTAGCTCGTCGTTACAATCCGTTATCTTTAATTGAATTAAAATCATCTTGGTTTAAAATTGAATTATAAAAATATCCATAAAGCACACGAAGTCGTTTGATATATACGGGAACACCCCGGGTCTTGAGTTAATAAAACACAGACCTAAATTTGTAATGAATTATAACTAAAATGAAAGTATGTAACATCGCAAAGAACCTGACGTACTTGAAATTGTAAACATTTTCAATGCTGAAAAGCGGGCGACAGGTAGACGTATATCAGTTTTATTTGATCTCTGAGTTGTTTTAATTGTATACAAACAATACTTAATTAGATCTGTAACACTTGTTCCAAGGGATGCTTATAGAACTGCTTGTGGTTTCCATTCTGTATTACCGATCTGATCACTGGTGCGATGTATGAAGCTGTCTTCAATTTCTGCACCCGTTCAATCGCCGATAAGAAAACAGTGGACTTTTCTCTGCTTGTTTCTTCCTTTCACTCCTTCTAAAGAAGGGACACAAAGACGGAAAGTCTTATTATTCCGATGTATAATGCTTCAGAAACAAACGTGTGTCTCCGATGATACCGTTAGTGTAAATTGTGCAAAGTGTCACTATTTTTTTTCCCCACGAGGTATGGCCGAAAGTAATTCTGAACGAGATTCTAACGTTTTAAACTGTACTGAATATAACGGTCAAGCTCAGTGGCTCCGGTACGATTTACATAATAACATTTGCGGTTCAAACTTTCTAAAAGTTTAACACGAATGCAATTCTGTCCGAAAAAAGGACAATTGAATGCATAATACCTGCGTATTGTCACGCTGTCTCAACATGCGAACGTTGTACGGCTGTTATAAACTCTTGTACATCCTGACACCCGTTCTTCATTCCGTGCTAAATACCACGGGTGTCCATAAACTGAACTAGTGTTTACTGGAATCAGTAAAAAATATTGTTATCTATATTTGAAATGGGATATAACAGACTCCATGATGCAAAGTCTTTTTTGAGAAGTTAGTAGTCACTCATAAGACCATTTTCTAAGCTTTGTTAATCAAGTCCATGTCCTCATACGCTAGGTATTTAATAAGATGGTAAAGTTGCGTCATATTGTGATATAATAAATATATATTGTTTAAATCTTGTCCGTCTAATCACAATAAATTCTTATTAAATATTAAAATATTACATTAATTAACATTTAAAATATTTAAAAGATTAAATGATGTTCTTTATCGAAATATTCCATTTACATTAGATGGTCTAATGTAAATCGAATATTTCGATAAAGAACATCATTTAATATTTTAAATATTTTAAATGTTAATTAATGTAATATTTTAATATTTAATAAGAATTTATTGTGATTAGACGGACAAGATTTAAACAATATATAAGTATTTAATATCAATCTTAACATTACCCTCACATCTACACCCAGACCTCCCAAGTGGCCTCTTACGTTCAGGTATTCCTACTAAAACTTTGTACGCATTTCTTATCTCTCTTGTGTGTTACATGCTCCGTTGTCTCTTCGTCCTTGACTCGATCCTCCTAATAATTTTTGTAAAGAATACAAACTGTGCAGCTCCTCATTATATAACTCTTTCTTTCCATGTCCTTCTTATGCTTACTTTTACTCAGCACCCTAATAAGAGGAATCCATAGCCTATAGTAAGATTCCGAGGCCCGGCAATCTGTTATGCTTATACGAGTAGCATAATCTCTAGGATATAGTCGAGTACGCCACTCTGTTTCATTCGCTAAGATCAGC